CTGCTGATATTTATGCTGTTGCCTTCTGGTGGCACTAATTGGTTGATTGAGAACAAGAGCGCGCACACGCTCCAAATGGGGCCGCACGCCTATGCCTCAATCAAATATTGTGTCACCATTACATTTGCTGCTGACCCACAGAGACACAACAAGCGCGGCATTCAGATGCAGAGACTGCACGACGCGCAATTCCTTCATTATCCATATTACAGTGATGACTGTTCATGTTGAGTTTATAGGTGCACCATATCTTGAAGAACATTCATTTGCAATATCAAATGACTCGAATAAATTAAAAAATGTCTTTGTTTTTTTCTTCATTCTTTTATAATAAAATATTCTACAATTATTAATTCATGACTGTTGAAACCAGAGGTGACCACTAATGTGTGCTTCTGAACTTCAAACAAAATTACAACAATATGCGTTTAAGCTAACCTTTAAACCTAGTACTCTCACAATGTGCCAGATATGAATGTCTTATTATTTTCTGGATAATGGTGCATTAGAAGCGCTGTCACCTCACAGCAAGAAGGTTTTGGGCTTGAGCCTGACCTGGGGCCTTTCTGTGCATGTTCCCCCTGTGCCTGCCTGGGTTTTCTCTGGGTACTCCGGGCTTCCTCCCACAGTCCAAAGACAGGCAGCTTAGGTTGAATGGCGACTCTAAATTGCCCCTAGGAGTGAATGTAATTGTGTGTAGTTGTCTGTCAGCCCTGTGATAGATTGGCGACCTGTCCAGGGTGGACCCTGCCTGTCACCCAATGTCAGCTAGGACTAGCTCCAGCTCCCGTGATCCTATTCAGGAATAATCCGTATAGTATAAATAATGGATGGTTGGATAGTGCTTTAGATTTGAGGAGTGCAAATCTCAAACGTAATATTAGAGCTCCACCTATAGCTCATGTAGACCAGAGACCCATTTTACAAATACAAAGCAAGCAGCTGATCTTTGATACATTCCTTTTAGGCTCTTTCTTTTAGTTTGACGTTCTGTAAACAAGTTTGGCAGTGAGATTTTTTTCTTTCTGTAATTTAAAAGCATGTGGCTTTTCCAGGAAAATCAGTGAAACGGAACAAGTAAATACACCAATAACCTTAAAGAAGAATAGATGTTTTGGCATAAGGAAGTGTGTAAATGAGTAGATTAGTAGAGCAAGAAAAGGGGAAAATGGCTCTACTTCTCTCTGAGGGTGCACAAACAGAGACACCCTGAAATTAATGCCCTTTAATAGGCTGGGGTAAACCTACTTTTAAAATGGCCTATGAATAGCACCTAATGAGAAGCAGCGAAACTGATGGAAACTGTGGTTCACACAAAAGAAGCATTAATGTCAGTATAGAGAGAACATTGTGTTCTTTGTGGCCCCTGATTCACCTGAGATCTTTTCGAGAGAAGAAGAAGAAGAAGAAGAAGAAAATGTAAACACAGCCCGCTGCCGCGTTCAGGTGCAGTGGGAATACTGGGTTGTCAAGTTTAGCGAGAAAGAAGGGAATCCAACAAAGCAGAGCCTACTGTAACCAATATTATCGGCTCTTCTCAAATTGTATGTAATTTGTTTCATGAAAATATAATCTGTATAGGAAAAGCTGTCTAATACACTATAACTGTGCACTGATTAAATGTTGTTTTTGTTTTCACGAAAATATAATTAGTGATAGAATAATCTGTATATGAAAAGCTGTCTAATATGTTATAGCTTTTGTGCACTGATTAAAATTTGTTTTTGAATGCTCAGTAATCTTAAAACTGGTGAATTTCTATTCCTTTAAATTAAGCAAGAGGTTGATTAGAGCCTCATGTGAAGGCCCAGTACTCAACCTCGCTCTATAGGTGGCGCTAAGCACTCAGTGATGGTTTGTACCCACTGGCACTGAAGCTATAGATATTGGCGCCATTTTGGAGCGAGGAGGGGGAAGAGAGCTGCAGTGGAGTATACGATTGATCACAGTTCACCGTAACAGGTAAGAAATGCACAAATAAACACGTCCTTTTGTTTGAAACGTAACAATATTTTCAGGTGCTGCTGCGAAAAATGAGGTATAATGCAGGATGTGCCCGCGGAGTAGCCAGGTTTACAGCGCTAAAGAGGTGGAGCACAGCCCGCCTTTCTCGCCTGTGTTCACGGCAGCCGTGTCCCGATTCACGGCGCTGGTTTACTAGGTCCTGCGGCGCAAAATGGTTAGCTAGTAAAATACTAGCCTATTCAATAGGTTTGGTGTCTCAACAAGATGAACAAACAGTGGCTCGAACTGGCTGTTTCACTGGAATTGGAATATCGATAACGATAAAACTAGCGGCAGTTATCCCGGGTGTTTTGTTCTGTGCAACGTTGCTGTCTGTCCGTTCTCTGTCACTGAGATTACTGCTGCTAACGTTAGCATGGCTATGCTAACCAGCGTAGTCGACATGTGAATAGCCGTTAGTTGGACAGCGAGCTAACAGCAGCTAACAAGGTTAGCCACGGTCTGCATTACAGCAACAAGGCAGCCCGGCTACACATAAGTCTCTGGTAGTTGTGTTATCATGACGATAAGAACAGCTGACTATAAAGTGTTTTTTCCGTGTGTTACCTAACGCTGACTTTTACTGTGGAAATTAGTGTATTTAACGCTTATAGTAATCCTGTGGCTGCTGGGATACAACGTTGACTCGAAGTTGCTTTTCGTCTTCTATCGTAAATGGTTCATTTAGTGGTTATTAGACTGTGTAACAGATACATTTGGCAGATATCAATGTAACATTTCAACTTTACGATGAGAATTCAGTATGATGGAAGGTAGTACAGCTGGACTTGTACACGTATTGTTATTACTATAACCTTAGCATGCAGCAAGATGATTTAAGCGAAAGAGTAGCGTTAATAGACAAAACAAGGACACTGGGTGTATTTATGGACTGAGCATGTTTTATAAACTATGTCAGTGCGATGTGAGTGTTTTGGACAGCTACCACTTTGTCTAATCCTGTCACCATCGACACTGTATTAGTCCATGGATCACAAGTTGTAAGCAGACTCTGAGACATCTCTTTATATGGCCAAGTAATACGGATTTTGGTTTATGGAAAGCTATTTCTTTGGATTTTGTTACCATATAGAACTTAAAATAACATTTTTCATAAAAGGCTATATGGGAAATTATTTAATGGTGAGAATATCATCAGATTTCAGTTTGCACACATTTTCTTGTTTTTTTTATTTTTTTTTTATATATTTCCAAAATGTCTTTGGAACCCCCACATAACCCCCCAATAAAAAGAAAACTGAGCAAAAATATATCTGGTCAGA